TTTCAATCTTTTACGCGTCAGTAAGGTAAAAATTCAATCATAAATTCAGAATACTTCCAAACAAGAAGCACAAACAATGAATCTAAAAAGGAAAAAGAAAAGAGAAAAGGTAAATCACACATAGACAAGTTGGCAATGAAGACAGAGAGGCCCATACGTTGCTTGACCTAAAAGAGTGTGCCTCATCGAACAGAAAAAATAGTAGGCAGAATAAGAAGAAAAACAAAACCTTGGAATTTTTCAATAATTTGTCCCATTGATTTTGAAGCTCTGAGAATACGATGCTGTGCTTGAGGGTATTGCTCGAAGAAGATGGTAGAATCAGTACAATCTACGAAGATTGAATTTTTATGAGATTTGGCGGATCAAACGTTTCTTAGGGTCTACCCCATGTGAGAGCGATTACTAGCTCAAATATCAACTGCGTTTATCTCTAAATTATTTTTTTCTATTATAGAAATAAAATATTGTGATATTTAGCTTGTCTCGCGCACCAAACTGCGTGATGACAGTGACTCTGAACACAAGTTTTGTTTTTTGTTTTTACCAATTCAGTGTTTCTCACGGGAATGGAAACTACCTTAGGGCGTGTTTGTATGAGATTTTTTTTTTTTATTATTAATCAGAATTAATTTAAAAAATATGGTATAGTTAGTTGTTAATGATATTTTTAAATTTATATTAAAAATAATATTTAAAATAAAATAAATAAAGTTGTTTTGATGTAAAAATAGGAGATAGATGATTTAGAGTAATGATTAATTAAAATTATGTGAGTGGATGAATAATGAATTAAAATTGTTGTGATGTGTAAAGAAAAGAATCACATGGAGGTAAATACGAAACTCCCATTTGAGTTATAACAAGAACAAAAACATTCATAATTATACCTTAAAATATAGGAGTGTTCGGGCATGGAAAGAATCACACGAATGTAGATACGAAACTCAGTTTGAGTTATAAAAAGAGCAAAAACATTCATACTTATAACTTAAAATGTGGGGGTGGTTTGGCTATTGGAAAAATACCTCAATAATGGCATGAAAAGTTTGTTGAAATAATTTTATCGAACGATTTCAAATTCATTGAAGGACAATATGGATCTATGTTTAAGGTTCCACCGAATCATTGTAATCGTAAGCCTTATATAGACAATGATGATCTGTGAAATATTAACATGATGTGTTCATGAATTTCAAGAAGATAAACTTTGACATGAAAAGTTTGTGAAATTCCAATGTGATTTTGAAGATTAAGTTACTAAGATATCGGAAGTAATTGTTTGGCAGAATCTCATCATGTCAAAAGTATGTTGAAGAGGTTCGATGTGTTCGATAAAATCTCAAATTTAAGTGTATGTATACTTGACTCTACACTTTGAGGAGAATTCGAGAATATTTAGTTTATCGCTAAAGTATGTGGAAATATTGGAGGTTTGAGGTACTTTTCAAATAGTACTCGCCTCAACGTTGCATTTTAGCAAGTAAAATAAGAACGTTCACGAGTAACTCGAGCGATGAGGAAGGTCTATGTTTATTTAGTTGTTTTTCAGTGTATTTGTTTTGTTTTGTTTGTTCTTGTCCTTTAGGTGTAGTTTTGTCTGTTGTGGTTGTGTGTTCCGTAGTTTGTGCTTTGGGTTGTTGTGGGAGTAGGTTATTCTCCTGTTGGGAGTAATCTGTTTGTTCTGGTGTGTTTGTGGGTGAGTTGTTTGTGTGTTTTGGTGATCTAAGCCATACCTTATGTATGAATCTCTCTGTTCATTCCAGTTGTATTAGGGGTCTTTGCCCTTGGTTTGTTTTAACGAGAATGTCTACCGTTTGAAAAAAAAAAAAAAAAATCTCGAACGATGAATTTTGATAATGCTAAATCGAGTATCAGACATGAAAAAATCTAAGACAAAAAGTGACTATGTGTTCACTTTAGGTGGGTTGAGTTTTCTAATGAAAATAATCTAAACACAAAGCAAGGTCCACAACGGAGTCCGAGTTTATAAATTTGGAATAAAGGCATGGAAGAAGTTAAATGACTTAAAAATTTTCTATAAGATATTCCATGGTAGAATAAATTGTGATCATCATGATGATTCTTTGTGATAATCAATCAGTAATTAGAAGAGCACAAAGTAGTTTATATAACAGTAAGTTTAGACATAGACGTCAGAGACTTAATTTCATAAGATAATTATTGGGTTATATCGGTTGACTATGTGAAGTCAAAGTATACAAAAACATAAAACGAGGTAAATTGTACAAATTGTTTAGGAAAATGAGTTGGACGCAAATGCACAACAAATAAGCAGTCTTAACGGTAACCCAACCATGAGAATCAGAGATCCCGAAACCTTGGGTCAATGAGAAAACTAAGTTTTAACAATTCAGTTAAACACTTGAAAATTTTTTTGCTCGTTTCTAACCGTCAAGTGTTAAAATCTGATTACTGGTGAGGTTAAGTCGATGACTTTTAATATTCCTATACCTAAGGGTAGAGTAAGACATGATACTCTTTATAGTAGAATCACCTTTGTAAGTAAGAAGTAATAAGTTGCTTCAATCGAACACTTACTAAACCGAGATATGGTCCAGGGTCGAAATGGACACAACATGAGAACAAGAAATTGTTAGAGTTGTTGTTGTGTGAGTATTGTTATCTTGGTGCAAACAAACAACCGGTAAGTTCAAAGCATCGCGCTACTAACCGACTACTATATCCGATAGTATTTCATTAAGAAAGATTTAAAGCCAAAAGCTATTTTTCCTAATGCAATGACGGTTCGTTAGGACTATCAAGCATACATACATTAATTTCATTCATGTGGGGGGATTGCAAACAAAAAATTAGTTTTCTATCGATTTTAGTTCCATTTTTTGTAAGTGTTAGACTTAGAACGGAAAGCGTACGAGTCCGTGACGCACGGTAAGATCACGACCCTTAGTGACCATAACGTGTCTTTTGGTCTTTAATAGCAAACGCACAATAATTATTATGTGCCTCGACTTTAGTTTTGCTTTTATTTTCTTCATTCTCCTTAAGTCATTCTTTTGATAATCCCAAACCATACAAATTATAATGCAGATAAGCAGTAACACATTATTATTCAACCGACTAAGTCGAATGTGAGAGACAAACAGAAGGTTATGGGCCCACTATTTAATGGCCACAAGTCAAACATGATAACATTTTTCGTGCAAATGACTTCTGAACGTGATTTTCGGGCAGATCAGGAAAACAGACAATGTGGGACACGTCAGCTCCGTTCCTTATGGCATTGTCACAGTCATCCTTAAACTTCTGAAAAGCGCTTCCCATATAATCAACGGCCTCGACAACATTCATCTCCTTCACTGTCTTGTGAGGGAAAATGTCAGAGTTATCATGGTCGCCTTTCAGAACAGCACACATTTGGACAAGCTCTTGTTGAAAGTCAGTTAGCTTTGCATCCTCATTTGCCTCAGTATCCCTCATTTTTACAGGTTCAGACAGCTCAACTGCAATGGTAAATGGATATTCTTGAAGAATTTATGAAAAACACTTTTATGTAATAAGTATTATATTAGCCAATAACTGTAAAATCTTTACCTGGGCAGTCTGTTCTGGGACTTGTCCTGTTTAAAACACACTCAAATGTGCCGGCCCAAGCATCACGCTGAGTCAGAAAGCTTTTAAGATTAAAAATCTTCTTGACAGTTGCTGGAATTGAAGAATGCTCAAACTCTGACGTGGGATATGGCCCGGAAGGTCCATGTAACACTGCATTTCCCCCATAACATATTAGTTAGTGTGTTCCCACTTAACAATGAATAATTAAAAAGATAAAAAGAAAAAGGTGCAATAAAAACAATGAGAAGAATCTTGGAAAAAAGATAAGAGGATGTTTGGATACAAAACATCTCAATATAATTAAATAATATCACTCAATCATTCTTACTACGCACCACATCAATTTTAATTCGTTATTCATCCACTTACACAATTTTAACTAACAATCACTTAAAATCTTTTCTCTCTGTATCACTTTTACATCAAATCAACTTTAATCATTTTATTTTAAATTTTATTTTAATATATCCACTAACAACTAACCTGTCCCAGGTTGAATCCAAGGAGACACCAAGATGGCTGGGACCCTAACCCCAAGGCGGTCGAACTGGAAGCTTTGCGGCTCAGGGCTGACAATGCCGTCTGGGCTGGGAATGCCAGCCACTGGTGTTGGCACGTGGTCGTAAAAACCCCCATGCTCGTCGTATATTACTAGAAACAGAATGTGCTCCCACTGGGGGCTCGATCTCAGGGACTCGTACACTTCCTTCACTAACCTCTGCCCTTCCGAGATGTCGTGGGGCGGGTGGTCGTCGTTGCCCGGGACGAGTTTGCTTTCGAAGTATCTTGGCTCGATTACGACGTAGTTCGGGAGATTCCCCTCTCGACAGTGCCGCTTGAAGTGGAGGTCAAACTGGTGGAAGTTGTCTATGTACTTCACTTTCCTCATGTTCCTATTTCAGGATTTATTTTTTTTTTTATTTTTTTTTTTACTAGTTAGTTTGAGCATTGAGATAATTGAGAAAAGGGGTATCAAGAAAAGTAAAAGCCATCATATAGTCATTATTGACTGCTTTGAATCTATCTAGGAAGAGGGTTCAACATAAAAGCTGGCTAGGCTGCTGCTTTAGCCGGTGGGTCCGGATTCTAATTACTTCTTTTAAGTTAATTAATAATCAGATATAGGATTACAGGTGTTCGACTCGATGCTTTCATTTGGATGCCAAAGCATTGTCAATAATGACAAGGACAGATTTTCAAAATCTCATTTCTTTTGAGAAGATTAATCCATATTTTATTATGGATCAAAGTTGGGTCACTGGTCACATCTCCTCTTTTTTCAAAACCCAATAATGCATAATGTGCCAAATTATTCTCTTAATCCCAATATGGAAGTTAATGGGATTTTCGAAACGAACACTATTTAAAAATGACACCTACTCATCTACAGATTAAAATACTACAGGTCAATGAAAATCTCATTTGCTGCTTCTATCTTCAATCAAAATAATCCAGANTTCATAAAAAACGTAGTGAAAAAAAAAAAAAAAAAAAAAAAGAAAAAAGAAAACACAAACAAAATCCCACCAGAAATGAAATGAAATGAATAATTTCATGTTTGTAGTTTTTGCTTAGGCCTATCCAAGTTTCTGAATCATCATGAGAGAGAGATAGAGAGAAGAAAGAAAGTAAAATTACCTGTAAAAGAGAGTTGAAGGAGGATAATGATAGTAAATCCCAAAAGAGAAGCCAGCCTCCTCAACCGACTCGAAAATCGTCTTCTGCGGATATCCTTTAATCAGCATCTTCCTGTCGTTAGCTATGGCCCCATATGACGTGGCAGAGTGTATAAAAAGCCTATTCGGCTGAGTCAACGTGGGGGCCGAAGAGAACCAACGGTCGCAAACTGCAAACTCTGATATCAGCTCCTTGTAAACGGGCACCTGTTCGGGCCCGAACCCGTTCATCACTACACGGGCCATCCCTTTCTCTATGCTCTCTGCTTGCTGAGCAAATCCTTCCATTGTGGGACCCAAATTATTAGCTGCCGAAGCTCGTTTTTCGTTGTCCCATGGTACGCCGTATATTTGTTCAAACACGGCCTCGAACGAGTGGCCGGGGTCGGGCTCCACATTGGTCGACTGTTGACCAAAGTGTATTCGGGTCGAGTTCGGGTCGGATGTTGATAACGGGTTGGATTCTTGGCCAGTTACACCGTCGATTTCGGGATTGAGGGATTTCATCCATCCCAGCATGTGGTCGAATGATCTGTTCTCCTGGACTAGGATTACAACTGTCTTGATTGGCCATTCTTTTGTTCTCTCAGACATTTTTTTTTTTTTTCCCGTTTTACTTAATGGTTTCTGGTTTAATGGTTTTTGGACGGTGTGAAAATGGAAGGAAGATATAGTGGGGATGGAGTGGAGAGGTTGAAATTGAAGACTTGAGAAAAAACCCAAGTGGCTGAATTTTTTTTGTTATTTTTGGACTTATTCAAAGACATGTGATTCTTTATTTAATTAACAATATTTTACACTGTTGGTGTTCTTGTTCGTATTCTTTAAATTTATAACAATATTCTTTATTTAAGTAACACTAGGAAAATACTCGTGTATTAAATAGGTGTTGTATTAGAAAGCTTTTGTAAAAAATATTATTTTATTTTTAAAATTAAAATAATTTAATTATATATAAAATATTACTTTGAGTTTTAATTAAATTGTCAAATTATATTTTTTTAATCATAATAATTAAACACTCGTACATTAAATGAAAATATCAACCCGTGTTAAATTTTTTTACTTATATCATATAAAAATATCGATATTATTTACTATTACATAAGTACAAAAATATATATCTTAAATAAATAGAAATAATATGGTGATATGTATATGCACAAGTGTAGAATATGTTTATTTAGTATTAAACAAAACAGATTAATTTTTTTTACTTAATTAGATGCCTAATACATCAAGTGTCGTATCAGTCGTGCTTCAAATTTTTTTAACTTTATATATAATTTTAGAATTTATATAAATAATTATTTATTTTTATTGCATTGACAACATACCAATTAGATTTGTAAAAAATATCATTTTTAAAAGAATACATACCAATTTCTATTACTTTATAATATACTTTATAGTTTTATTTGATATAATTTAATTTAGTTTGATAAATAAATTTAAATTTTATTTATAAAGATATATATTACTGTTTTGTATAATATATATATATATATATATATATATATTTAAATAGTAAAATACAAACGGACTTCATAATATCAATTCAAATGCAACACACTAATTAAGATTTATTTTTCTTTACAATATTAACCATATTTAATGGATGTTATGGAAAACGATGGAGATAGGATATGAAGAGTAAGGATGGCAGCGGTTCGGTTTCGGTTCGGATATCCGCGGTTTTTGGTTTGGTTCCAAATTTCACCCACGGTTTTGCGGTTTCGGGTACCCGAAAGTCTTCGGTTTTGGTGCGGATCCTATATTTCGCCCGTGGTGCTCCGTTGGGTGCCCAAAATAGACGGCCCATCAAAAAGCCCACCAAAAACCCTAGCTATATAAGTGGAAATTTCCTCTGCCTCTTATCCTCTCTCGTGCCTGCGTGACCAACAGCCGCGCCGCCACCAACATCCCGACTAAAAAAAAATGCCGACCGAACTCTTCTCCTCTCCCGACTCCCGTGCGTGACCCCTCCCTCTCCTCGCGTTATCATGTTTTATGTTGTTGTCTTTGGTGTTTTATTATAATATTTTTAGTTTTTTGGGTATCCGTTTGGTTTTTGGGTATCCGCGTGTTTTGGTTTTGGTGAAGGATTTTCACCCGAAACAGTTTTGGTTTTGGTTTTGGTTTTTAAGTTTGGGTTTTGGTTTTGGGTGCCCTGAGGTTCCATCCGATCCGAACCCGAACCGCTGCCATCCTTAATGAAGAGACATTGTGTATTAGATGGAGAGTTAAAAATGGAAAAATATGAACGAACTATCTAAAACGACAATTATTTTACCTATGATCAATTAAACCAAAGTGACAAATAATAAAAATATGAATGAATATATTATTATATATTTTAGTTTGACACATGTTACTTGTGCGACTTATATGTGTTATATTATGATAAATTTTCTACCTTATAACATATAATTACATTAAACATAAATATAAATTGATAATAATTTTATTTTCTAATTAATTTTAATAAATATTTTTTATTATATAAAGATAAAATATAATTTATTTATTTTATATATACAATATGGATGTTAAATCGAAGTTCATCAAAAGATGATTAATTTGATATATTATATATGTAAAACCGATAAGAAATACAAAAGTTATCAACTTTTAAAATATATTTTTAATTCAATGGTTATAATAGAAAACAATATTAAAATATAATTAATGTAACTATTAATTTATGTCCAAACCTAACTCCAAAGCATAATTTTTTGCCAAATAGGATTACGAAGCATGAGAGTTTGCCACGTAGGCTCAGCGTATTCTGAAATTATATATAGACGGGATAGTATTGGTGTTCTTGTTCGTGTATCTTCAAAATTTTAAGATAAGTGTTATAGTGTAAATATTTTGGATAATTTTCAATATGGATTCCTTTTTAATATTTTTCCCCACCAAAGTTTAATTATTCTAAAACAATGTTCACCTAAGTGCACCCACAATGATTTGGGTCTATTCAAAAAAATATACATGACACATAGGAAATAGACCCAGTCTAGAAAAATATACTCTCCAATGCAAGTGCAAATAGACTGGGTCGTGCTGATACGACAGCAGAAAAAAGAGACACAGTCTATCTTTAACTCTATTTTAGACTCTAGTAGAGACCTAATCTATTTGCATTGGAGTCAATTTTGTTATTTTTAAATCTATGTCATCCAAGACTTAAGTCTATTTAAGTGCCACATAAGCAAAACTAGACTTAAAGCATTACAGATGCTCGAATTCATTTAAACCAGTGTTTTAAAAGTTAAAACGTTTATAGCGTAATACGTCACATTTTGGATTTTATACAGCGTAGCGTAAATAATGTTGCATATTGCGTAAGCTATTTGGGTATAATTTTTTTTATAGAAATATTATAAATATATTTGCATATAATAAAACTAGATGGTTGATTCCAAAAATTATCATAGTATTTGAATGACTTCAAAAATAACATCTAAGAATTAGTTCTCACAAATGTTAAATGTAAATATCATAATATAAATATTTAATAATAAATCAAATATACTAAAAAGTAAAAACAAACAACGAAGATATAATGAGGTAAGTCATAGTTTAATTTTAAGTATATGCATTATAAATTATTATTTTTTTATTTAACTACAATTTAATACTAATCATTAGATATAAACTTTTTATTCTTTATTTAAATGCCAAATATCAAAAAATAAAATGATATAACGGAAATAGACAGATAAATATTGCACTATTCAACTTAGAACTTTGCATTTTCAAACTTTTAGGATATGTTTGCGTACAAAAAATTTAAAAAAAAAATCAACTTTTAAATAAGCCACTTTTTTAACTCAACATCATTATCATCAATATTATCAATATAATTAAATAATATCAATCAATCATTCATACACACCACATCAACCTAAATTCACTATTCATCCACTCATATTATTTTAACTAACCATCACTTCAAATCACACTCTCCTACTTTTACATCAAATTAATTTTAATTATTTTATTTAAAATATTATTTTAATATACCCACTAACAACTAACCATGCCTCTTTTTTCAAAATTAACCAAATCAAACCAAAAAATCCAACAAAACAAAAAAAAAATTATATCCAAACATGCTCTTAATTAATTTGAAATCATTATCAAAATTTTTTGTTTTAGTTGTCATTTGTAAATATGACCCTGATCCCTAAAAAATACGAGTTTTTTAATATTTTATTGTTTAAATGCGTTGCGGAAATATAACGTAATTTAGCGCACAATAGCGTGGAATAGCGTAAGAAAACGTGTCATTTCAACATTTCGCGTAAGCTTTTCGGGAAAAACGCTAAATATATACAGTACGTCGCATTTTTTTGAAAAAAAAATGCTATATAGCGAGCTATTTAAAACAATGCTTAAAACATAGGCTTTCATACCATTTTTTTTTTCTTTGTCTTGTTTCACTACCAAATTAAAACTCATTTCAAAAAATTTAAAATAAAAATATATCATAATTTTAATAAATATTGTTCATAGCAAGGCCCCGTGAATGGGAGGATTCGATGCTGCATGTGGAGGCACTGCTCCCACATGCCTTTTCACCCTTGATTTACACATACTCATACACACACACCTATGTGAGTGTGTGTGAAATCAAGGGTAAAAAAGCATGCTACCCCCACCAGGGACGGACCTGTATTAGGTCCAGGGGGGCCGTGGCACCCCCTCAATTTTTTTTAAAAATCATTGTATATGTATACATATAAATAAAAAATTACTATAAATTATGAATAAAAATGTAAAAAACATGTGGAATATATAAACAATTAAAACTTATTTTCAATGCTATTTTAATTTAAAGTTATAATATTATTTATTTATTGAAAAGTATACAAACAATTTTTATATTTTACATTTATGGAAATATATAATAATTTACTCTTTCGGCTTCTTAAGTTTAATGATTTATAAAACTTAGAATTTAGTTGGATTGTTAGATTTTTGAATGTTGATCGAGTGTATATTTGAATGTTGATTTTTTACTTTATTTTTTTTATATAATCACATATTTTCAACTTTATTTATTTTTTTATTAATAAAATGGTCATTTGATAAGCTCTCATCAACAAAAAAAATGTTATGTAATGTATTGCAAAAGTTCAATGTAAATCAAATTTTGAACAAAAAGACTTATTTTCTTCATAAATTATAGATCTTAAACTTAAATTATAAATACAAGAAATTTCTATTTTTTTTTCCTAAAAAAAAAATTTAAAGGTGATACGAATTCTATATTTTTAAAAACTTGATGGTAAACATATCAATATCTATATTTATAAGTAAACACAAATTATATAAAATGAGCGTTTCTACGTAAGCTACAAACTTGTTATTTAACATTTAAAATTGGGTCTTCCTGAGTTAAAATCCTAGCTCCGTCACTAACCGCCACATGAATTTTTCCCATGAATGTAGTGTCTTACTTTCCCGGTGTAACCAATTGCCAATTGGGAATAGCCACGAGAATTTATTTTTTTTCCTAGAAAAATATATTGAATATAAGAGTAAAGTCACGGAATATATTCAGCTAACACTAAATGAAAGAGCGATGCACCGTCATTTTCGGAACAGCAGACAATATCTTTCAAGGCATCACAGCCAATTGAGTCATAAGAAAAGAGACTAAATAGGCTCATAGCATCAACCGCATTCAAGAACGATGATCTGCCTGTGAACAATAAATTAAGAAAAATACACACTGGGATAACTTAAAACATTCAACAAATCCATACGAAATATAACAACTGTTCCGCAGATAAATGAATAGCTTATTTTATAGTAAAATCTAGTAGTATAAGATTTTTCATTCGTATAACTAGAACTAAATATCCTGGCCAATCTCATACATGGCATAAAAAAACCCAGTAAAAAAAAAAAATTGGAAGAGTGACCCTAATTTCCCTGCAAATTCGAAGGCCACCCAACATTAAATTTGGCATTTTGCCACACTATTAGCA